TCTATCTATCTATCTATCTATCTATCTATCTATCTATCTATCTATCTATCTATCTATCTATCTATCTATCTATCTATCTATCTATCTATCTATCTATCTATCTATCTATCTTTGCTCTGCCTTTCTCCTTAGAAGGACCCAAGGTTGCTACGACAATTAAAAAGCAACATTTAAAAGCTAAAAACAGGGGGTGCGCAAGTATATTAAAAAGAATTAAACAAGTATTATTTGGAACATGGTCAATAAAATCACGACCAAAAGCACCATTTGAAAACCACAGAGGAGGACCATCCATTCAAAAAGAAAAATTATTTTATTATTTATTTATTTTATTAGATTTATACCCCACCCATCTAGACAGATAGTCTACTCTGGGCGAAAACAAACTCAGGCTGCCAGTCACTAAGGAAAAGCCTGCCTGACGAGAAAGAGAAATCCCCAGTAAGGAAAAGCCTGCCTGAAGAGAAAGAGAAATCCCCGCGTGTAGAAAGCTAGCACATTGCAGGGAAGACTCAGCTGCAGTGCTTGTTCCTGACATGATCACTTTCTCTATGCATGGATCGGGCCTTTGATTATGGATCCATTCTCCACCTGCAGCCTCAGGTCGTATTGTCTGGGTCCAGGGCTGTCCTGGCATATTTTTGCATCTAATTTATTTGTTCTCAAATAAATAGAGACAATAGCTAGCTGTCCTCCCAGGCTGCGTTCAGCTTCTCCCCACCCAGCTAAGAGTGAATCATTCTCTGTTTTGATTCTGCTTTTTTTTCTCTCTGGAGGGACCCATTATTTGTGGTTTGTTTTGCTGGAGGTTCCTTCGCCGGCGAACGCCAGCTCAACACTGATGAACAAAGCGTGAGGTTTTTACTCCCTGCCAAGTTGGCCTTCTGGGTCTACCTTTTGCGGAAAGTGTGTTGTTTGTGAACGTCCCGTTCGCTCAAAATAGCAAAGACAGTTAAAATGTTTGTGAGCGTTTGCATGACGTTACAGCAGCTGAACTGGTCGACGGGCCACAGACAGGGGAACACAACATTTGAGACTGTTTTCCTGCCGATCCTAAAGGCATTGTTTCTGTTTTGCTTTGTTCCTGGCAAGCAGCTTCCAGCAAAAACTCCCTGGATCCTGAGTTCCTGAAGGCAATTCCCATCATGAAAACACGGAGCGGGATGCAAGTAGGTACCAAGCCTTGTCCACGGAGTCAGCTTTCGTTCTCGGTCCCTCTTCCCGCATGACAGTAAAGGCTCTGTTGGCCAACAGCGTACGGGATGCCCCTACCGTGCACTTTGCTGCTGTTGGTCGGCCTGATCTTGAAATGAAAATATTTCCCAGTGGGTTAACAGTGCCTCTGTCCAAAATCTCAGAGATGACCTCTGAGCGTTTGCTCCAATCTCAAGCAGACCATTTTCGTGAAAATTTTCGTAAATTGGACCGTTCCTTTATCCTAGGCAGGATAAGAATAACCATGTGCCACACTTCGAGAACCGCTCAGGTTTTCCTTCTCCTCTTTGAACAAACAGCACCGTGTCCGAAAAGCACACATTTCATTTTGGTTACTGCTTTAAATGGCCCGCAGAACACCTCGTTGCCGTCCATTTAAATCTACTGCACTTTGAATGAAGACTGCAGCAACCCATGGTTTCTTATTTCTGGAAGACCCCTATTTAGCCATCTTAAAAGATCTTCCAAGTCAGCTGCAGCTTCTTAACTCATAGAGGCCCTGAAAAGTAGATTTGAAATTCCGCCAGTAGATAGGCAGACACATAGAATCTGCACAAGAGAAGTACCCTAAGAGAAGTTCAAAAAGCATGATGGCCTCTATAAGATGGTTTTGCTCCAGCAGGTGGGTGCGGGAGGAGCGAAGAGGGCGTACGGGGAAGTGGGACAGAAGACATCTCTGCTTCCTTTTGAATGGCTGCCGAGAGATGGCAGTGAGATGGAACCATCTCTGGGTTAGGATCGTAGCTGTCTTGGGGCACAGGTGGGCAGATCTTTGGCACTCCAGATGTTTTGGATCCCAGCTCCCAGAATCCTCACCTGAAATGGCTGATGATAAAGGACCAGGGGAATGGTAGTCCAGAGCATTTGGAGTGTCAAAGGTTTCACCGCGCCTGTCCAAAGGGGACAGTTTCTGATCCGCTGATGCTTGAGGGGAAGGAAAAAGTCTGGAGGCTAATTCTTGCTGCTGATGTACTGCCATGGAGTTAACAATGATGGTGAACCAGAGCGTAGACATCTTCCGCCTTGGAACTATAACTCCCAGTCATCAAGGTTCCTGGCTATGCTGGCTGGGGGATTCATAGAAGCTGCTGATGTACTGCCATGGAGTTAACAAGGATGTTGAACCAGATCATAGACATCTTCCGTCTTGGAACTATAACTCCCAGTCAGCAAGGTTCCTGGCTATGCCGGCTGGAGGGATTCGTAGAAATCTGAAAAGTGTTATTCTATCTCCCTTCAGTCTTCTTTTCTCAAGGCTTTCAGTCTTTTCTCCTAAGGCTTGATTTCCAGTCCCCCCTGATCATCCTTGTCTCCCTCCCCTGAACTTGCCCTAGTTTGTTAGCATCTTTCTCAAAGTGGACTCAAGGTCAAGGGGAACCTTTACCTTTACCTACCTCAGTCTGACAGCTGTAGCTGATGGATCGCTCAGTGAGCCAGCGATCGAGAGTTCGATTCCCCCCACTGAGCTTCCTGGGAGTCAAGCCAGCCTGTTTGGCCTTGGGCCATTTGGCACCATCCCCAGAAGAAGAGAAGGGGTGCCACTTTCTTCCTGGGAGTCAAGCCAGCCTGTTTGGCCATTTGCGCACCATCCCCAGAAGAAGAGAAGAGGTACCACTTGCGAGTATAGTGGTGCCTCGCTTAACAATGTTAATTCGTTCCAGCGAAATCACTGTAGAGCGAAAACATTGTAAAGCGAAAATAAAAACCCTATTGAAACGCATTAAAATCCGCTTAATGCATTCCAGTGGGCTAAAAACTCACCGTCCAGCGAAGATCTTCCATATGGGGCCATTTTCGGTGCCTGTCTAGCAAGGAATCCGTCCTAGAAAACAGCGGGGACCATTTTCTTCAGCCGGCGTCCATTTTGGGACCCGACGATCAGCTGTTCGCTGATCATCGTAATTCGAAAAATCAGTTCCCGAAGCGGGGAACCGATCATCGCACAGCGGATTTTGCCCATAGGGAGCATAGTTTTGCGATCGTTAAGCGGATTCATCGTTATACGGGGCAATCGTAAAGCGAGGCACGACTATACACTTTACCTAGTAATTACCTAGAAAGAGTTGCCATGGATCTGAATTTGACGGCACATGATGATTATCATCAGCCCATCCAAGGACCTTTTTTCAGGTTCTGTAGTGAATGTTCCCTACCTTCTTTTCAGCCTCAGGACCCAGGGCTGATGAAATCCGTCTTGCCCCAGTCCTGAAGCAAATTCTTCAGATTCACGGCAGCTCTTTCCCTTGGTGCCGAGGGTTGTGGGAGGAGAGGGCATTTATTTGCAAAGGTATTCGCCTGCCGCAGGCAAAGCCCTTCCGGTGGCAAGGGTGCCTCCAATAACTGCTTTCTGTTCCGGCCGCCCCACAGTTCTCCTGTGCCTCCCCAAGTCACAGCAACCCCGAGAACGCCTACGAGGTCTGGGTGTGCAACAGCGACGGCTACGTCGGCCAGGTCTGCCTCCTGAGCATCAAGAAGGAGCCCATCGTGGAGGCGTGCATCGCCGTTTGCTCCGCTCGGATCCTGTGCCTCTCTTCGGTGCCCGGCCTCAAGAGGACGTACAGGTACCAGAGCAGGAAGGCAAAGGAAAGGGCTTTCTCCTCCAAGACCCAGGTGGGCCGGAGTGGGGTAGGGGAGAAATGCCCTATTGGGCTGCAGTTCCCAGAATGCCCCAGGAGCCCCATGGCCAGGAGTGAGGGATTCTGGGGGCTGAAGTCCGGAGAAGTTACATTGGCCAGTTGTTCCTCTGACTCCAGCCGGGGGGGTCCACCTGCAGCCCTGGAAGGCTGTTTCTGAAGCTTCCTCCCCCAAAATCCCTTGCAAACTCGCCAAGAGGAAAAGAAAATCAAAATATTTAGTGGGTTGCGGTGGGGGCAGAAGAATTTGCTTTTCTGCTCTTGGACAGATCTAGGACAGCAGGAGATGGGGGTGGGGGAATAAGAAGCAGATATCCACTCATGTCCTGTTTTTCGCATAATTGAATTTACTTAATCAAATGAATTAATTAATTAATTTAAAATATTTATATCCCACCGTATTCCTTTAAAAAAAAAAGACCCAGGTGTCTTACAGTAGTTTAAAGCCGGCTAGATTGGACCTCATTAGGTTCTTTGAGTTTTTGTGGGGTGCTTGTTTTTGAAGCTCTTCCCTTCACTGTGGTGCTTGCCGTTGGCCGGCATTTCTTCCCACCCTAAGCTGAGTGCTGAGCCACATAATGCACTGATTCATGTGCGGCGGCTCTAGCCTGTCAGAAAGCAGGGAGCGCCATGCCTTCCTCGATGCCTGAGTCACCCCAGGTAATTCCGCTGCTGGTGGTGGTCCTTGTGTCCTGAGTTTTAATCCTCCCAGGTCATGAGAATCCTGGATTCCGCTCTTCCCCCAATCCCAGACGTCTCGTCATCTCTGGATTCTGGTTTCCCTGTTTTGTGGTTAGATTCAGCCCCCTGTTTTCCCCCCGTTTCTCTTTCTGCTTCGCTTGGCACCCAGGGAGCGACCCACGTCTCTGGCCAGCCCGTCTTCTGAACCAGTTCACGCCGCACTGGATGAAGCCGTACCACAGCAGTGCTTGCACATTTCCATATCCGGGTCTTCTCTGGAGCTCTCGGAGCCTGTGGGCAGCGCCAGCCGGGAACTGGTGCCCTTCGACAGCGACGACACGGATGACGAGTCCTCCCCGAGCCCATCTGGCACCCTCCAGAGCCAAGCCAGCCACTCCACCATCTCCTCCAGCTTTGGAAGTATGTGGGGTTGGCAGACCCTCCCGCTTCTTTTCTCCTTTTTTATAATTGTTCCCTTTTTCATCCTCACGGACCCTAAACGATCTGGAAAAGGTATAAAGGATCTGCAGGAGATCCGTTTCAGGCCCCCAAGCGGACACTGGAAAACAAAGACCTAGCCCGCGCTATGCATTGGTTGGTCCCTGGTTCCCTCTAGTGGCCATCTGTGCCAAATACACCCCCTGGGAATACCATATTTTTCTGTGGATAAGACGCCCACACTTTTCTAACCCAAAAGTAAAAAAACTAAGTGGGACTTAGCAAGTGTAGGGGGAAAGGAATCACAGCCCTGCAGAATCACTTTGATCCCTGCTTTCCTTTCCACTTGTTTTTGTTCTTTCCTCAGCTTACTTCCATGTATAAGACGACCCTCAATTTTTGTTCTAACGATTTATACAAAAGTATAGCCTTATATATGGAAAAATACGGTACATACAAATCGGTATTTCTGGGGTTTTTTAATTTAGCATTTTCAACCAGCAGATAAGTGAATCAGCGGATACTGATCCCGTGGATAGCGGGTGGTCCTACTGTAGGACCACTTCTGGATGCATCAGGCATGGTGATTTTGCATCAAAACAAATTGCAGAATGGGCCCCTGAACCCTCCAAAGTGACGCGCCCCGGAGCTGAAAAGTCATGTTTGGAAGGCCCTTTTAACGAATGCCTCTGTCCCCGTCCTTTCTCCTTTGCCAGACGAGGAGGTCCCAAGCTCCAAAGACGTGATGGCTGAGACAACCAGTTCTGAAGAAGAGCAAGAATCCTCCAGTTTCCTTCCCGTTGCCCCAACGTTTGTCCAGAACCGGAACAGCGAGAGCCCCATGGACGGCCGGGCAATGAGACGGTCGAGTCGAGGGTCCTTCACCAGGGGCAGCCTGGAAGACCTGCTGAGCCTTGACCCGGAAGCCTATCAGAGTTCCGTCTGGCTGGGGACCGAGGACGGCTGGTAGGTTGACGGTGCCTTAGGATCCTTCGGTCTTGGGTGCGAAGGATCCCAGGCAGCCTGTGGTCCAAGCGAGGGGCTCCTCGCTCCATGCATATGTGGGCTTTCCTCTTCCGAACAGGGGCCGCCATTGGTAGCAAGCACCCATCTCTCTCTCTCTTTCTCTCTGTGTAAGATCCATTGGCCATTGATGGTTCTCCTGGGAGGTTGTGGACTGTTCAGAAGCATTCCAACACAGAGAGGGAAAGATCAACCGCAAAGTATGGAAGATTGGAGTGCTGGCTTTAGACGAAGTGGCCGATTACTGTGGCTGCAATTCATGGAGGCATACAATCCTAGAAATGCAGAACTGGGAGGGACCCTGGAGGTCATGTAGCCCAACTCTAAGCCAAAGCAAGAAACCCATAGCTAAAGCATCACTGACTAGTGGGCCCCCCTCGCCTCCGATTAGAAGGAAAGGAGGCGCCCATCACCCACGGAGGCCGGAGGGGTGACAGCAGCCTCTGCTAAGGCAGCACAGCAACCCTTAGCCTTGCTTACGGTTCGAGACCTGTCCGCCGTCTCCTGACTTTCCTCCATTCTCTTTGGGTTCCAGCATCCACGTCTACCAGTCTTCTGAGAACATCCGCAACAGGAAGAACAGCCTAAAGATGCAACATTCGGCCTCTGTGACCTGCATTTTGTAAGTCTCCAGCTACGGCCCCAGGTTACACCGATGTACCCAGGATGTGTCCATGAGCATCCCCAGTCTAGCTTTGTGGGAGCCTCTGCGAGTCCCTGGCTCTTTTTTTGTTTGATCAAAGCAAGTTTCTAGTCCACATAATTAAAAATGTATACATTGTGGGGATATGAGAAATGATGCATGGTCCCTTTTTTTTTAGTATGAAGGACCAGTATTGTGATCGCCTCTCTTAATTTGAAGCTATATCACCCGTGTTAGGGCTTTCCACCTCCCTGAGGACTAGACCCTTATTCATTCATTCATTCATTCATTTTGTGTCCCATTCCCATTATTGATTGATTGATTGATTGATTGATTGATTGATTGATTGATTGATTGATTGATTGATTGATTGATTGTATTTATACCCCGCCTATCTAGTCATTTCGACAGCACTACTCTGGGAAGGTTACAACTCGTAAAATAGAAAATAAAAATATGAAACCAATAGCAATAACCCTAAAAAGAAAAAAACAGGTGGTGCCAACTAATCCCAAAGCAGATGGAGGAAAAGAGGGGAGGGAAGAAGAGGAGGGGAAAGAAAAAAAAGGGGGGGGAAGATGGTCAGCGAGGGTCATAGTGGAAAGCCTCCCTGAAAAGCATCGTCTTGAATTGAGCTCCTCTAGAAGCTGGTTCCATAAGGTTGGAGCCACCACAAAGAAGGCCTTACCTCTAAGAGAGGGTTTATGGGCCTCCCTCGGGGGGGCCACCCGGAGGAGCCTCGACTGGGCAGATCTTGTGGGTCGGGCAGATGACCTTAAGGAGAGACACTCCGACAAGTAATACAGGCCCAAAACGTGGAGGACTTTGTATGTGAGTGTCAAAACCTTGAACCTGATCCAGGACGCCAGAGGCAGCCAGTGGAGGCAAGCCAGAACTGGGAGCAACGTGGTCAAATTTACTTGCACCAACCACCTGTCTGGGCTGCTGCATTCGGGAGCCGCTGAAGTCTCCGGATCACGTTCAAGGGGAGGCCCACGCAGAGGGCATGGGAGTAGTCAATCCAGGAGAGGACCAGGACCCGCACCGACGTCCAGAGGGAGCCCTTATCTAGGTCGAGGCGAAGTTGGGCGATCAGCATAAGTGGGGTAAAGGCTGATCTGGACACAGCTACAATCTGGGATTCCCGAGAAAGAGCCGGGTCCAGAAGAACGTCCCAATTACGCACTCGGTCCCTAAACTTGGAGGGGAGTACTCTCCGGCCGAGGGACCATCCCCCCATATGCCTGTTGGAGGTCTCTCCCCCTCCCCCCAGGAGCAAAATCTCTGTTTTGTCCGGGTTCAATTTGAGCCCATTAACTCTGGTCCCTTCCAGTCCTGCCACCAGACCGGACGGCCTCCACTGTGGAGGTGGCAACGGAGAGTGAGAGAGTTGCGTGTCGTCAGCCTACGGACGACACCTTACTCCAAAACTCCCGGTGACCTCCCCCAGTGGCTTGACGTAGATATTCAACAGCACCGGAGAGGGTGTTGATCCCTGAGGAACCCCACCCCGAAGGATCCCAGGGGCCGACACCTCTTCCGCAAGCTGATCTCTCCGGACACGGCTCTCCAGGAAGGATCGGGGCCAGCTCAATGCTAGGCCCTCAATCCCAACCTCTTGAGAGCCTGTCCAGGAGGATCCATCGTCGGCGGTATCCAAAGCCATTGAGAGATCTAGGAGTCCCAGCAGGGTGCGTCTGCCCCCCCGTCAGCCTCCCTTCAAAGGTCATCCTGCAGCGTGACCCGTGTCATCTCATGACCCCGCAGTGGCCTGAATCCAGACTGGAAGGGGTCAGGGCCATCCTGCTCCTCCAGATATGACTGCCGGCCCTTGAGTTGATCTTTCATGCACCAAGAGGTACACGATGCATTTACTTCTGAGCCGCCGCAGTCCTATCGCTAAGCAGCAGAGACAGGTCAACCCGTGGAGGGTGTGATCCTGTGGGTCCTTTCAGGGAGAAAGGCAGGGTAAAAATATTTTAAATAAACAAATATCGCTTACGTTTTTGGACCGTTTCTGGAGTAGTCCAGGGACAGGCAGTTTCTCGGTGATCATCGGACAATACCATCAATAGTGCTTCCGCCCAACGCTGATCCATGCTCAAGCTGGACTTTTTTGCTCTAGCAGAAAGGGTACTTGGGATGTTGGAGGGGGGGGAACTGGGCTGGGCTGGAGCTGTTCCCACACAGACAGAAGGATCTCTTTGAGAGGAATGGCTCCCAGCAAAGCAGCCCTTCCTAGTGATCCATCTCACCGTCTGATCGCACCCGGAGACAAGCGGGAACATGATTCAGGGTGACCCGGCTTGCTTTCAAAGTTGAGAGTGTGGTCCACCTTCCCCCTGGGCATCATATATGCCACCATCTCATCATGCTTCAGTGTTGCACGTGTTCATTTTCAGGAGAACCTGGAGCTTCCTTGATTTTACTGAGCTCAGGTCAACTCAATCTTTTTTTAAAAAATAAAAAAATCAAGCATTTAAAGTATGAGCAGGAGGGACCTTTTTTCGATGTGGGTCTCATCGTCTAGCGAGGCACCACTGTACTTGGGCTGGAGTGGTTCCCACACAGACAGAAGGATCACTTTAAGAGGAATGGCTCCCAGCAAAGCAGCCCTTCCTGGTGCGATCAAACATGATCCCTCTCACCATCTGATTGCACCTGGAGACAAGCAGGAACGTGACTCAGGGTGACCCAGCCTGCCTTCAAAGTCTTCAAAGAAGAGAGTGTGGTCCATCTTCCCCCTGGGCATCATATATGCCACCATCTCATCATGCTTCAGCGTTGCACATGTTCGTTTTCAGGAGAACCCGGAGCTTCCTTGATTTTATTGAGCTCAGGTCAACTCAATCTTTTTTAAAAAAATAAAATCAAGCATTTAAAGTATGAGCAGGAGGGACCTTTTTTCGACGTGGGTCTCGAGCAGCTCCCCTGCCTGTCTGCTCATTTCAGCCGATGTCGTAAAACCTTGGCTTTTCCCGCAGATACCTCGAGAACCAGGTGTTCGTGTCGCTGGCCAACGGAGAGCTCGTGGTTTACCAAAGAGAAGCAGGTAACGCGTTCAGAGGGGAAGCAGCTAACTTGAAGGCATTGACGTAAAGGGCAGCCGTGGGGTCCAAACCCAATAAAAATACAAATGCAAAAATAGGCAGAAGCTTTACAGAGTACTAAAATAAATCATCACACATTAAATGAGCTTTCATGGATTAAATGCCACTTCCTCGGGATGTTACCGGTGGGAAGAACTTGAAAGTCCAAAACTTAAGAGTCCAAAAGGACACGACAAGATGGTTTCGGACAAAAGATCTGTTTCGAATGATGGCCAGATGGGGAGGTGTGCATATGTACACACCTGTGCTTCTTTGGTTGTAGAAAAGAAAAAGCCTAGATTCGCAACCCTAAAACAGAAACCACTCACCTCCGTCTAAGAGAGAAAGGCCTGGTCAGTGGCCAAGAGAGCAGAGAGATGACCCAAAGGCAAACGCTGAGTGCTCAAAATAACCACGGGCACATTAAAAAATCACAGGCGGATAATCTGTGGCAGGTAGGTTTGTAGGAGAGATTGCAAGAGAGAGCCTAGGTCACTTGCAGAGGGACATGCGAGGGATAGAGGGAGAATGGTTCATAATTGGTACCCCATCGCTCATATGCACCCTCCCGGCTGAATGCCACTGAGCTAAGACAAGCCACGGGGAAAGGTTCCTGAAATGAACACGGCCGGCATGAATGTTTGCTTAGGGTTTGAGCAGCGATGGGGGGGGAAAGGACGGTTTTGGCACTGTGACACCCTCTGCCTCATTGTAGTCCCGACACTACCCCACAGAGTGAATGACAGGGCATAGAAAAGCCAGCCATGTCCGGGGATATCACTATTTATCTATTTTATTTGTTTGATTGATGTTGTGCCCCATTTGGGAACGCCCTCTTCAGGTGCTTATTTTTCCAACCTCGGAAGGATGGAAGGCTGAGTCGGTCCTGAACCGGCTACCTGGAATTGAACCCCCAGGTGGTGGGCAGAGTTTTGGCTGCAGTACTGCAGTGCAACCACTGCAACACGATGTACCGTATAAGACTATACTTTTGTCTAAAATCCTTAGACTAAAAATTGAGGGTCATCTTATACACGGAAGTAAGCTGAGGAGAGAACAAAAACAAGTGGAGGGGAAAGCAGGGATCAAAGCGATCCTGCAGCACTTTGATCCCTTTCTCCCTACACTTGCTAAGCCCCACTTAGAT